ATCACCTCTTGGTTTCTTATTTTTTGTTAAACAAAAAAAAAACTGACTGGCACTGTTAGGTGATTTTTCTCACTGATGTTAAGGAGGCAGCACTGACTGGCAACACTGATAGGTGGCACTGACTGGCATAGGTGGCAGCTCAGATGGGCACTGATATGTGGCACTGATGGGCACTGGCAGGTGGCACTGATGAGAACTGACAGCTGGCATTGATGGGCAGTGACAGGTGGCACTGCTGGGGCTACACTGATCATCAGTGCTTTGATGATCAGTGTACATGTCCCCTCTGTGGAATGCCGATTACCGGCATTCGGCATGACTGCTTGTGACCGGCATTTCCCAATTTTACATGCGATCAGCTTTTGATTTGACACAGCTGATCACATTACCGAGCCGACTTCTTTGGCTTTTTCCGTTGATTGGTGATCCGCTGTGTCCGAGGGACACAGTGCACCACCAATCGCTGTGCTCCCAGAGCCGCGCATGTGCGGTTAGAGTGGGAGGACGTCATATGACGTCCTCCCAGAATGAGAGAACCGCCTTGCACCCCATCATTCCCTTATATGGCGGTCGGGAGGCGGTTAAATTAACAAACATCTCACCTGTTCTGTGCAATCGAATTGCACAAAGTGGCCCTGACCCTCCTTTTCGCGGGTGCCCCGCAGGAAATCCTGGCTCCTCCTCCTTTTTATTTTCCCATGACTGTTTCCTATATGAAGTGATATATATATATATATATATCTATATATATATATCTATCTATATATCTATATATAACATATATATATGTTACGTGATATAACATCCTTGTTACATGATTTACTATTCTGTATTTCAGTGAATCAAATCACTTGTTTATAATTAAAAAAATAAGTGTGTATGTGTATATAGTCATGGCCAAAATATTGGCACCCCTGCATCTCTGCCAGATACTGACCACTTCACCCAGAAAATTGTTGCAATTACAAATGTTTAGGCATTCTCATATTTATTTCTTTTTGTTTGTATTGGTATGACACAAAAAGTGGAGAAACAATTCGCATTCAATGCAAAACTCCAAAAATGGACTGGACAAAATTATTGGCACCTTCTCAAAATTGTAAGGTTTGTGATGCTGCTGTAATTTGTAATTGAACTCACCTTTGCCAATTAGGTGCTGACAATATGGAAATCACACTGCAACTTGTTTAAAATGGTGAAAAATTGACTCACACTTTCTGTTGTGTCTGTGTGCCTCATGGAGCATGGTGAAGAGAAAGCAGCAAAGAATTGTCTGAGGATTTGAGAACAAAAATTGTGGAAAAACATGGACAATCTCAAGGTTACAAGTCCATCTCCAGAGATCTTAATGTTCCTGTGTCCACTGTGCGCAGCATTGTCAAGATGTTTACAGCCCATGGCATTGTAGCTAATCTCCCTGGACATGGACAAATTACCTTGATCAACTTCCAGACAAATTCAAGCTGACCTTCAGGCAAAGGTTACAACTGTGTCAGCTCGCACTATACATCGCCATCTGAATGAAAGGATGCTATGTTAGGAGACCCAAGAAGTCCCCACTGCTGACACAGAAACATAAAAAAGCCAGATTGGAGTTTGCCAAAACTTACCTGAGGAAACCAAAATCCTTTTGGGAGAATGTGCTGTGCTCAGACGAAACAAAATTACCGTATTTTCCGGCGTATAAGACGACTGGGTATATAAGACGACCCCCTACTTTTCCTGTTAAAATATAGGGTTTGAGCTATACTCGCCGTATAAGACTACCCCTCTTCCAACGCACACCAAATAAAAATTAAAAACCTCAGATTTGATTTCAATATGGTATGCTATTTCAGTATGGTATTCCGATGATGGGACACTATTCCTCCCACTGACACCAATGATGGGGCACGCTTCCTCCCACTGACACCAATGATGGGGCACTATTTCATCCACTGACACCAATGATGGGGCACTATTTCATCCACTGACACCAATGATGGGGCACTATTTCATCCACTGACACCAATGATGGGGCACTATTTCATCCACTGACACCAATGATGGGGCACTATTTCATCCACTGACACCAATGATGGGGCACTATTTCATCCACTGACACCAATGATGGGGCACTATTTCATCCACTGACACCAATGATGGGGCACTATTTCATCCACTGACACCAATGATGGGGCACTATTTCATCCACTGACACCAATGATGGGGCACTATTTCATCCACTGACACCAATGATGGGGCACTATTTCATCCACTGACACCAATGATGGGGCACTATTTCATCCACTGACACTATTTCATCCACTGACACCAATGATGGGGCACTATTCCTCCCACTGACTAATGATGGGGCACTATTCCTCCCACTGACACCAATGATGGTGTCCCTACATTAGTGTCAGTGGGAGGAATAGTGCCCCATCATTAGTCAGTGGGAGGAATAGTGTCCCATCATTGGTGTCAGTGGGAAGAATCGTGCCCCATCATTGGTGTCAGTGGGAGGAATAGTGCCCCATTAGTGTCAGTGGGGAGGAATAGTGCTCATCATCTGGTATCAGTGGGAGGAATAGCACCCCATCATTTTGTCAGTGGGAGGAATAGTGTCCCATCATTGGTGTCAGTGGGAGGAATAGTGCCCCATCATTAGTCAGTGGGAGGAATAGTGTCCCATCATTGGTGCTCAGTGGGAAGAATCGTGCCCCATCATTGGTGTCAGTGGGAGGAATAGTGCCCCATTAGTGTCAGTGGGAGGAATAGTGCTCCATCATTGGTATCAGTGGGAGGAATAGCACCCCATCATTGGTGTGAGTGGGAGGAATAGTGTCCCATCATTGGTGTCAGTGGGAGGAATAGTGCCCATCATTAGTCAGTGGGAGGAATAGTGTCCCATCATTGGTGTCAGTGGGAAGAATCGTGTCCCAAACCTCATTGGTGTCAGTGGGAGGAATAGTGCCCCATCATTAGTCAGTGGGAGGAATAGTGTCCCATCATTGGTGTCAGTGGGAAGAATCGTGCCCCATCATTGGTGTCAGTGGGAGGAATAGTGCCCCATCTATTAGTGTCAGTGGGAAGAATAGTGCCCCATTAGTGTCAGTGGGAGGGAATAGTGCCCCATTAGTGTCAGTGGGAGGAATAGTGCCCCATTAGTGTCAGTGGGAGGAATAGTGCCCCATTGGTGTCAGTGGGAGGAATAGTGCCCATTGGTGTCAGTGGGAGGAATAGTGCCTCATTAGTGTCAGTGGGAGGAATAGTGCCCCATTAGTGTCAGTGGGAGGAATAGTGCCCCATTAGTGTCAGTGGGAGGAATAGTGCCCCATTGGTATCAGTGGGAGGAATAGTGCCCCATTGGTATCAGTGGGAGGAATAGTGCCCCATTGGTATCAGTGGGAGGAATAGTGCCCCATCATTGGTATCAGTGGAAGGAATAGTGCCCCATCGTTGGTGTCAGTGGGGGAGGAGGAATAGTGCCCCATCGTTGCTTCAGTGGGGGAGGAACAGTGCCTCATCGTTGGGGTCAGTGGAAGAGGAATAGTGCCCCATCGTTGGGGTCAGTGGAGGAGGAATAGTGCCCCATCGTTGGGGTCAGTGGAGGAGGAATAGTGCCCCATCGTTGGGGTCAGTGGAGGAGGAATAGTGCCCCATCGTTGGGGTCAGTGGGGGAGAGCAGCGGCTGCTGCTCCTTTCAGATTTTCGCGGGGGGGGCCGCTCGGCTCCGCTTCCTGACCTGTGATTGGTCGCCTGTGTGCCTTTCCAGTGCTTGCGCCCAATCACCGGTGAGGAAGCGGAGCCGAGCGGCCGAACTGAAAGAAGGAGCAGCTGCGCTTCCTGGACCGGACCGGATCGTCGTGGGACCGGGACCAGAGCCAGGTAAGGTACAGCAGCCCCTCTGCCCACCCCTGTACTTAGTGTCCGTTGAAGGAGAAGGGGGGGCGCCGCCCCGCACCTCGAAAAGGTGCCGCCCTGATACCGGTGTATAAGACGACCTCCGACTTTTCAGAAGTTTTTCTTGTGTTGAAAAGTCGTCTTATACGCCGTAAAATACGCTACAGCTTTTTGGTAAAGCCCATCATTCTACTCAGAAAAAGAAATAAGACCTTTTAAAGAAAAGATTACAGTCAAACATGGTAAAGGTTCACTGATGTTTTGTGGTTGCTTTGCTGTTTTAGGCACTGGATGTCTGGACTGTGTGCATGGCATTATGAAATCTGAAGACTACCAAAGAATTCTGGGGTGGAATGTAGGGTCCAGTGTCAGAAAGTTGGGTCTCCACCAGAGGTCCTGGGTCTTACAAAGGACAATGACCCCAAGCACACACATCAAAAAGCACCCAGAAATGGTTTCAGACAAAGTGCTGGACAGTAATGAACTGGCCAGCAATGGCTCCAGATCTAAATCCCATAGAACAGCTGTGGAGAGGTCTGAAAACGGCAGTTGGGAAAAGGAACTCTTTCAACCTGAGAGACCTGGAGCATTTTGCAAAGGACGAGTGGTCCTGAATTCCAGTAGAGGTGTAAGAAACTCATTGATGGTTACAGGAAGCAATTGATTTCCGTTATTTTTTTTCAAGGGGTGTGCTACTTTATCCAGTTCATATTGGGGTTTTGTGTGATATGTGTCAGATTTGGCTTTTTGTTTCTCTGCTTTTTGGTGTCCTACCAATGCAAACAAAAGTAAACATGAAAACGCTTAAACATTTGTAATTGCAACAATTTTCTGGACAAAGTGGTGCATTATCTGACATAAATGCAGGGGTGCCAATATTTTTGTGTGTGTGTGTGTGTGTGTGTGTGTGTGTGTACATATACTTAGTATCTATCTTCTCCCTATCATTCATCATCTGTTGCTCACTAGTCCATATGGCACACCCTCTCTGTGCTTAATTTTTTATGGACTCTGTGTCATCCCTACTATTTTTTGCCTTGTTTGTTAAATGATACTGATGAAGTCTTTTTTTTTTTTTTTTCCAGTGTGAAAATATTTGTGTCATATGTAAGAGTATCCTGAACTGCAGTCCCGAGAGTCTGCTCAGTCAGACGGCTACTCTGGAACAAGTACAGATCCATCCTAAACCTTCAGACGGTTTGGTGAGACAAGGTTTTATTCAGCTTTGGGGAATATTTTATATATTTTCAATTGCTAATTTACTGAAAAAGGCCAGCGTAATAAAGACCCATCTATTAGGCCTAGCATGGGTATACTGCCCATTCAGCAGGTACCAATATGTGTGTGTGTCCGTCCGTCCGTCCCCACATATTAGCTACGTCTCTACAGATGTGTGGCTTATCTGCCATTAATAGACCCCACATGATAGTTTGCTTTCATATGTAAACACCTGAATTACTTGATTACTGTCATTCTGCTTATAAGCATAAAACCTGTACAGGTATCTTGATAGTATGTTGCAATTAATTGAGACGGGGACTTTTCAGTAATCCTTTTTAAAATTGCAAAGTGCTGGGGCCATTCTGAGGGCAATCTTGTCAGTGCTGTTGGCCTATAATTATGTGGCTACTGCGGTTTCAAGTTGAAGCAGTTAGAAATTCTGGAGAAACTTGGGAAGGGTTAGAACGCTATCAGATTGTTAAAACTGTCTGTGACAGACCATTGTCAGCAGGCCATAAAGTGAAGGTAAATACAAAATTGTTAAAGTGGTCACCAGCACAGGTGGTAAAGGAAAAAAAAAATCTTTTAAGGACTCCCGTGTGGGTGATAACTACTTTGGAGGGCATCTCCTTCAATTTGGAAAGATGTTCTATCACTTTCTCTTGCGTCTTCAGATTAAGAAGTGAATGAAAATCTCCCCGATGGGACACAGGAAAAAAAAAAAACATAACAGACTGAATGGGGTTTAACACTAATACTGCTCTATCTAAGCTAAATAAAACATATTTAACCTTACATACACTTTTTATAAGGGCTTAATTTATATTTTGTTTCTGTTCTTTTACTATCCAGTATGTTGGCCATCAGTGTCTTACAATTTAATATGTAATACATGACAGAGCATTTCCAAAGCACTATGGCTTAGCTAATGAGCACACTTTTAAGCACAGCTTTCTCTCACTCTCTCACTGAAACTTTGTTCTGAACCATGTAATGAGGGGTAAAAGTATCTGACTCATCCAACCCTGTTTAAATGATTGTCTTTTTGATCTATAATCTCCTTAAACAGTTTTGTTTCATCAATATATGCTTGGTGGAAATAGCAGTGAAAGCAGCCTGGAGCTCTGCTTGATAGCTGCATAAAAGATAGATATCCATCCCTGTCTATATCTATGCATGTGTGATATTATATATATATATATATATATATATATATATATATATATATATATATATATATATATATATGTGTGTGTAATCTTATGGTGTCCAGATACAACTGCAAACTGGGCAGGTTGGTCACCAGGCCCAAGGACCCTTAGGCCGTTGTGGTAGATGCTCTGGTGACTCTGTAAAATCAGTTTCACCTGATCTGTGCCTTTCTTCCTCTACAACGCCCCCCCTTGTCTGCTCTGCAGGATCCAAATGAAAGGCATTCTGGTGATTCACATTGCAACAAACTGGCCATGAGGGCATGCTATTTCTTTATACTTGCACTTTTTGCAGACTCTTTTTGAGCCCTTGCATATCGTCCAGACCATCTGTCCCAAGTTCTTGTTTCTTGGTTTAAACAGCATAGCTGTTGAAGCCTAGATCATGAGGAACAGAGGCTTATTGGCTTGCACAGTCTATCATTACACCTGGAGGACTTTGCGTGGTGCAAGGCTAGCTCCGTTCGACACATCCTGTTCTTTCTCCAGGCTGATTTGAACTGGCATCTAGCCTTGAATACCATAAAGGGGCAAATCTCAGCCCTGGGCATTCTGTTTCAGTAACTGTTGGCCTCCCAAAGATAAGTTAAGGTCTTTGTGTCACTTACATTCCTCTTCCTGTACGTTCCCCTTTGACTCCTTGGGACCTTAACCTGGTTCTTGCGGCCCTTAAAACTCATTAGGGATATTCCTTTGTCTGACCTCACTTAGAATGAGGCCTTTTCTTGTTGCTATCGCCTTGACACACCGGGACTCTAAAATGGTGGTTATGCTTTGCCAGAGAGCCTTTCCTAGGCCTTATGCCTCTTTTCTACATCTTTCCTCCTAGCTAGTGAGGACACTGTCCTTCTCCCCTTATGTCTTGCTCTGAAAAATTCTAAGGAAATTTCTCTTTTTTTCTCTGTCACTACATGGTAAATTGTGGCGACAGTCTTCCTCTCGGCTTCAACCTTTTTATCAGCAATTCGGTTCCTCCTTTGTCCACCTCAAAGGTTTCTGCAGGGGGCTTTCTGCTTCTTTCTTCACCATTGCACTTTTATTAGACAAGTCCTAATTTGAGCCTTTGGTCAAGATATGTGTTTTTAAGGGCACTTCAGCAGGCATCTGTTTCTCAGATTTTTAATGCTGTCACCCAGTCTTCTGTTCACACTTTTACGCTGTAGCAGGTGGATGTTTTTGCCTCATCTTAACCTATTTGTTATATTGGCCTGTTGGCATATTTTGCTGTGTTGCCCACCCCTCACTTGGACTGCTTTTGGACTTCGCATTGTTAAAACTAAGATCCCAAGTCTTATACTGCACAATTTAA